AAGTGGGAATCTAATAAATTTATGGGCAAATTTAAATTCTATGTAAATTCAAACAAATTCTGTTTCTATATGTATTATTTGTATTAAATCCGGTGAAATTAGGTACAAAAACATATGTTTGATCATAAAACACATTCTTATCACAATAACTAGAACATTTATTAATAATAGTCCAAGTCAGACAGATTTTTAGTATAGGCAAACCACTATACTATTCAAAATTTAAACAAACTATATATTTTTAATTTTTTAATATGGTGAAATTAAATAATTGACACGTGTCTTCTAAATAATATACACATAACAATCACAGCAAACTAGACAATTTAATATTAAAATTAGAAATCTAAAAGATGTTTTTTAAAGGCAAACTAAAATTCTCCAAAATTTAATACAAAAAAAGGTGTCTTTATGCATTTAACTTGTATAAAATTTAATAAAATTTTATACCAAAACATGTATCTGATCATTAGACACATTACAATAGAGATTTTAAATGCAACATAATAGCATTGTAAAATAAACCAAAACACTGAATGCGTTTAAAAGTATTTAATTTGTAACAAATATTATGAAATAAAGTAGCAAAAGTATGTTTAATATTAAAAGTCAAAGTCAGAAGGATGATGAAAGCAAAATGCCTTTCAATTTCAACAAACTATGTGCTTACAAAATTTTTGATTTTTTTTTTGAGAGAGTAAATATAGTTTATTTAATACTGAATTACTTTTTATAACTTACGGAGGCCAAAATAATTTAAAAAATCAATTGTAAATCAATTAATCAAAAGTGTGTCTGCTCATAAAACATATTCCTATCACAAAACTTTAGATCGGAAGAAATTGTAAACAAACTGCTATGCAATTTCAATTTAAACAAATACTGTATTTATAAGTATACAATTTTTATCAAATATTGTAAAAATGTATATCAAAACGAGTGAGAGATTCTAGGACTCATTTCAATCAAAAATAATTAGGTAATTTAATATTAAGAATCAAAATTTGAATAATATTTGTTATAGTCAAATTTATATGCTTAATAAATTAAATAAAAACTGTGTCTAAGGATATTTAAATTATCTTATATTGTGTAAACTGTATTCAATAATAAAAAATAATTCTTATCACAAAACTTTAGATAATTTAATATTAAAAGTGAAAGTCAGAAGGTCTTTTAATATATACAAACTGCTATGCAATTTTAATTCAAACAAAACATGTGTCTATAGGTATACACAATTAGTGATAAATAATGTGAATTTCTGTAGAAATACGTGTGTATGATAATAAAACCTATTCATATCATAAATAAATTGAAAATTTTTAAAAAGGATAAAATCATTGCGATTTTGAATGCATACAAAATGCCGTAATA